TAGCTCTTGCAAATCAAATTTAGATAGACAAGATTAGTTATATATATATATTTGTATGCAATCTTGGTGACAAATAAATAAACAAAAATGTGGTAATTTATTATTATTATTTCAAGTAAAATAATTTAGAGACGTCAATTAGACCGTCGCTTTCGCGTGAAAGGGATGTACTCGTCCCTTAGTGGGGGCGGTCGGGGTGGTGTTCCCGGGTCACGCCTGACTCTCAAACGGACGGAAAATCCCTGCAGCAAAGCGACCTCCCCCTCGTCCTCTAAAAAAATGGGAACCATAGATGACTGTGGTTCTTGCTGTTGGCGGGGACAGGGGTTGACTCCGGTTGCTAGGAATTGGGAAAAAATTCTTCCTGGTCGTTTCTTCTCTTTCAGTACGACCTGAGGAAGAGGAAAAAAGAATAAATTATTTGCGGTGACGTTGGCGGTGTGTGTGGCAATAATAATTCACTGTCGAGGTGGGAGTTGTGGTCACCTTTTCGAGACCTTGTTGGGGATGGTGACCCGCTGGACGAGAGGGCTGGCTTTTTCTTCTTCGACGTCGTTGCCTCTCTGTGGCTACGACCTGAGGAGGAGGAAGAAAAAGAAGAATAAATTAGTTGTGGTGACGTTGGTGGTGAATGTGGGGATACTAATACCCGATGGAGGTGGGAGTTCTTACCACTTTCCCTCTGTCGGCGTGGTGACCTCCTCCGAGTGGGGGGTGTGGGGGAACATTCCACTTCAGATGAGGGGGTGTCCATTTTTTGAAAAAAAACCTAAACCTGGAGAGCGGCTGGACTGTGATCGTGGTTGGTGATAAAATCGCAACTGCGGATTTTATTGCGAGGCATGATTCCATGCCGCTCTTCTGTACCAGCTCCTGACAACTTCTTATATTTTGTTCACTCAACACTGGATGCGTTGAGTGAGGTTGAACAAAATATAGGAAGTTGGCAGGAGCTGGGAGATGAAAGTCTGGTTGAGCTGAGAGTTCAGCCAGCTCACACTACAAAAATGTGGAGTAAAATCCATTTTTTTTATGTATGGTTTACACCCCAACCTTAATGCCAACTGCATCTGTTGACGAATTTGTAGGTATGACTTTATTGTAAGTTAGTTCGTAATTAAAACACTAATTATCTGTAATTTAATTGAATTTTGTATAATGAAACAAGTATAAAAGACATGCAAAATATCCATCATATTTATTTCGTAAATAAGGCCCCCATATCTAAACCAAAGACTGGGCAATGTAGAGGAGAACAACGAATTGAGAACATGTCCCAAAAATTGACCAGACTTGTGCCATATTCGTCGGACCTATGGTAGTAGTATGTCACTGATTTTCCCCAACTACGGGCCAAGTAAGGCTAACAACTCCGGCGCATTTTGTTTCCCTGAGATCAAATCGGGTGTAGGCCAGACATGACCACCTACAGTCCCCCAGACCCGGACCACAGATAGATTTTTTATCGGGTAGTATCTACCGAAAATATTTGGACAGACGTCAAATTTGTGGAATGTTTAAGCCAGATAAAGTAAGGGTGGAATGTATGGACAATTTTTTGATTTAAGGTCCAACCTTGGAAACGAAAATCTGCAAGTTGGGATTATGTGGGAATACGTGATAATCTACGTGGATATTTTGGCAAACCAATGGATAGCAAGAAATGACCGAAACGCCTTGTCTCTTGGATTTGTAGTACATGGCGAGACAATCATCAATTTGCTGGAAATCAACTCGTGTAACAGCAGTCCTTTTTAGTAATCGAGTTGCTTCTTCGGACCAGTATATTAGCGCGACGACACACCTTAAGGGACGGAACGTCCAGGAAGGTTAATATTTTGGACAGTATCTAAACTCAATAATACGGATATGCTATAAGCCGAACTATAGCAATATTATCCAGCTTACGTAAGGATTATTCACCACGGTGTCTCTAATTTTGGTAGGCATTACTACTTCTGGGCAATCCCAAGAATCCTTGCCCTGTATGTTCCCCATTTTTTTAAGTATTGATATTAATAATAATACATAGACAAATATAAAGAGAAATGAGTATTTGGGTTTGGAGGTCGTTACAATTGTGTAAAATACAGGATAAGATGCGACTACTTGGCTTATCAAAAATTATGATTTCAGTGAAGTTTAATGCATGGATTAGTTAAATATTCGGCTTACTGAGTAGTGTCTGTCCGTCGGAGCTATGGTATATGTATGGACATTATTGTTTGCAAATACTGATATGAATTGGTGATATCCACTCAGTGGATTCCACTGATAACGAGCTAAATTATAACTTATCAAGAATATGAGTTAGATTTCATAATCGGTGAGTTGCCCACAAAAGTATGCATGTAGGTACCCACACTCAAAATAAGATTTACCATTTCGGGTAAAGTTTGTCTAGAAAATAGTAACAATAATTTCAGCAAAACTCAAATTTATTTCTAAATACGGAGGAAATCAATACCATACCGTAGTGTTCCCCAAACGAGTCAAAGCAGTTTAGGATAAGGCGACGCCCATAAACTACGTTACACAATTAAATGCAAAATTTAATTCTAAAATTAGCTTAAAATGATAGTTATCAAATCATGATGGCTCGATGAGGCTTAAAAATTAGATTCAAATCATTTAATTTCATACGCTGAGAATTACTTATCAGAATGCTTCAAAGTTGAGTAACTTACGGTTACGGTTACGGTTAAAGAGCTATTTTGTGTGAATGATCGTGTAAAATGTTTAATACAATCTTTTATAATAAATATTTTTTCGACCTACAATATCTATATAAATTATAATTGAGTTTATGTGTGTTCAAATTTTTTTATGCATGTGTTACAAATGTTTACTACTGCTTAAAAAATCTCATACACCCGATTTATTCGAGACGCTAAATTTTTCCATGGAGCCCAGTACTTTCGTACTTCTTAGAAATGTACCCTGGTTGAAATATCGGAGTTTTTTCTGCATAAATATCCTTCCGAATCCTGTGGAACTTTGTGGCATAAATTGGCCCAATTTGGTGCAGAGACTTTTGTGCCGAAATCTTTATGCAGAATATTTTCAGGATGATTTGTGCTTCTTGATCTATGCAGAATGTTTTATGCATAAATCTTCATGCCACAAATTGGCCCAATTTGGTGCAGAAATAATTCTGCATAAACAATTGAACATAAAGTTTACTTCATCAATTTACATTTATTTGTTTGATTCACATGTGCATTATATTAAATGTCATAATAATACATACAAACGAATCTAAATAATTGATCGCTTCCAAGTCTGTGAAATCTGATAATGATTTCGTAACCTCAGGTCGAATAAACTTCTTTTGTTTCTAGAATAAGAACTAGCACGGAGTATGTTGTCCGCTCCTAGTTTACCAATCACTTCTTTTCTTAGACATAACCTGGGGTAAAAATAAGGTCACAGATTTTTAAATTCTTCTATATTTACTAATAATTATTATTACGCATAATTATTTATTTACTTACTGATGTTTGCTTTACGTCGCACGACATCAAATGACCGATGTGCAACAACATTTTTGTTGGCATTGGACATCAAACAAATTTCAAGTTGAGGTCTTTTTCACATTGTCAAAACGGAATGGATGTCGTAATATGTGGCAAATATGTGGCAATAATTATTGAAATATTGTTATTTTTGCCTGGTCAAGAATGAAGAAGCACTCGGTTGATTGAAGAAGGCAGCCACACTAAAGATGAGCTGTGTGCGAGCGCAACTAAACATCCCACGTAACAGTCAAATCTGAGACGTGAGGAATTCTGGCAAAAGTAGAGACCTCTACTGGCATGCGTATAATGTACCTAAAAACATCTGCAGAAAATTTGTGCCACGAACATTTGACAGAATTCGGCGCTAAATTTCCTGCAGAAAATTCACGACAAGAAGGATAGACATGATCAGACACAGTATTTTATGCAGAGAGGTGTAGACAGAGTATGACGTCACGTTCTGCATAATTACGCTTGAAAATTTATGCATAAATAATTGTAAGTAGTCAATTAAGTGATTCCTGCAGAATTCGGCATAGTCATTTCAACCAGGGTATGCTCCCCCGACGGCTGAAAATATGAGAAATATGGCCACAAAAACCATCCAAATGAATGTCTAAATCGGTAGCGAATAAGTCCATCCGATACCGGTGACTCCACGAGTCGACGTTCTCCATATTCTTTTTCTGCCTTGGTAAGAACCCGGTCCTAGTAACATAACTAGATACACTTTGGATAAAATAAAATAGTCAAGCGAATAGGTACCTGGAAGGAATGGTTTCCTGTTTCGTGTATGATGAAGAAGCCATGTTTTGCTACACAGTTGGTCATCCTGTAAAGGAGAACGCAGTGTCCGTTGGCCTGAATGCACGGATTCTGTTGGTTATCATCCTCAAATGTGACGCAGCCGTTAAAGTATACCTTTCGCGATTAATTTGTACTTATTTTAGTCAAATGGCTCAAATAACGACACTTTTTAAATATGTTAAATATGTATTTTAAAAATTGAAATACTACTTTTATAAGCTCGTACTAATTTTTGAAATGAGCTATGTTGCATATGTTATTTTTTCATTGAATTCGTAAATGTGAATAATCAGAAGATACACGTATGGTTTTGTTTGAATGGTTGTATAAGGGGTTTTTCCAAGGTAAAACCATTATTAGTGTAATAATCTTTGATATCAATTGATAAGTGTAACCAGCAGGTTTAAAATGTTAAGAAATTATTAAAAAATTATTAAAATTTATTTCCAATGAATTCATCAAATCTTGTATTTGTAACGGAAGCGGTCTTGTAGTTAAAAATATTATAGAATGCACAAAAAAAATCAACTGAAAAAACAAAACTTGATAAAAATTTTTCCATTCTAATATAAAAATCTACATATTTACTTTTGTGTTTTATGTAAAAAAAAGTGAATGCCAAAGTTCCCAAAACTTGCTACTTTAATCTATTTACCAGTAAAAATGAATAATAAGTTTTAAATATGGCCATATCAGCATTGTCGCAAATTTATTTCTTTAAAAAATAATATCAAAAATTTGTTTCATTGGTTTATTGTAGAAATTAAAATTTTGAATATGTCCAAAGCGACATTGGCAGAAATTTCAAGTCCAGAAGCATTAGCACTTTCACCGGAAAATCTTGCGACAATTCGCGGAAGGATTGCTAGCCCGGCTTGAGAAACAAAGTTCAAAACTTGGTTCTTATGGGCGATCAAAATATCGAGAAGCTTCATAATGACCATGGCTTAAAAACAAGACAGGAAAGAAATAATTTTAAAGAATTGATGAACGATTTAAGAAAGTTTATGATGTTTATTAAATAAAATGAAATAATACCCAAAAATTCCATCCCAATTTTACAAACTTCCAAAAGTTTGAATCCCGTTGCTATGACAACATCGCGAAATTCAGACCCAAGATGCTTCTCTAATTCGGTAGAAATATTTTCGAGCTGTTGGGCCTTCAGGGAAAGTTCAGGCAAACAATTTTCCCCGTAAAGTTGCCTGATTTTGGTAAATCCGTTTTGAAACCGAATACAGTTGTATAACTCTTTAAATTCGTCAAGGCTCATTTCCTTTAATTGTTGGTTGAGTTTCGCCAAGTCCTCGCCTACGTTTTTTTCATTGGATTTATTCAAAGCTTGGACGGAAGCTTTTAATTCTTCTTTACTATTCATGTAGTCGTATTCTTCTCCATCAATTTTTATGGTTTGGTTCTTTTGTTTTCTAAAACAAAAGGAAATCGTAAAACAGTTTACACCAGAAACGGAAATTTATTTAGATTTTATTTTTTTATTTCTGTATGTACCTCAGATTTCTCTTGACGGAATTGGCCATATTTTTTATGGGAAAATATTTTAAGATAGATTTCTAAAGAAAATGTTAAAAATATCCGTTACACAGTAAATCTAAAAGGCGAGTAAGGCAACGGTTGAATAAACTTGGAATCAAATGATAAATGTAAATAAAGTCAAATATTTATTTGGCCTGGTTGATTTTAGATATTTACATACGTAAGTACATATCAAGGTTTGTGATGCCTTCAATCAAAAAGTGTTGCTTCATTTTATTGCATAAAATAGTGTCACTTTATTGAATTAGGTAAACAAATGAAAAAATTCTGCGAAAAAACGATAGAACGGTGATTTTTGTAACAGGATTGGGTAAACAGAAAAGATAAAATAGTGAGTTTCCTTCATAATTTTAAATTTACATTAGGTTTAATATTATGAATAGTTAAACAAATTACTTGAGTTATTTATGTGCGTGTTCCCCAGCAATCCTTAATTTCCTGTAGAAAAGAAAGTGCCGAGCTGAAATGTTGGAATTACTTTAATGTACTGTTCCCGGCCAACCTGCTTCTATCATTTTCCAGCAAATGAGGGTAAGATTACGTGTCCAAAAACAACATCCATGACGGACGTCCACATTTTTATTTTCAGCCCGAGTCAGGGTTTATGTAACCATCATATCCGTCTGTCCGTCCGATACACGATAGAGCCAAAACGGCTGAACCGAATGGCTTGATATTTGCACAGTATCTATATGGGGTAAAGTTAGGAAGGGAGTTCGAAGATGAGCCAAATCGGTCAAGCGGTTGACCGTTGGGGGTCATTTAGGTGGTGGGGGTATTCTGCACCAAAATTTCAAAATTGTGCTAGGATGATGAAATTTGGCACAGAGGTTCCTAATGGCCTCTAATGAAAGATTATGAAGTAAATTTAGAAAAATTCGGGGATCCTATGGGGTCGGTCATACCGATTTTCCAAAATCCTTTCATTGAGCTGAGATTTGGTTTGGAGGTTACTCATGGCTAGAGTAAGGGCTGAGGCAGATATTGAGCTCAATAATATACCAAAACTTAAACACGCGGGTAGAAATTAGGAAAAGAAAATAATGATTGTTGCGAGAAATTTGTGATTTCGCTAAATGCAAACCTGACTCGGGCTAAATCAACACTGCACACTGTAGGTTTTTATTTTTAGTAGTTAGCAATAAATATTAAAAACTAAAAAATTTAATTTAATTTAAATTACCGTAAATTTGTTAGACTTTGGTTTTGAAATTCTTGGTTATATGCATGAAAAAAGGATAAATAAAGCCAAATGTGGACTCTAAACGAAGATAAAAGGTCCCAATATGTCCTCTCAAACTTAAAAGAAACACATAAAACTAACGGTCATGTTTCACACATTTTGCTCTGTTCAAATTTGAACAGTCATGTCCGCATGTTTAATTGCCAAAAGACGTCTGAACCGATTGGGTTGGAGATTTCATTAAATGAATTTTGGACATAAAGAACGTCCGGGAATGAATGGGAATGCGCGCAGTATATATGGGAAGTATATTGACAAATCAATAAACCCGCGAACTGTAATAATTTAAATTTCTGAAAGCCCACTTCATTAGGGTCAATTTGGTATATCACTCTTAAATTTCAAAAATGGATAAGGGTAGAAGAAGCTTGTTTGAAAGGGAGCTGTTAGGAAAACGAGTGATGGAGTTCTACAACACGACAGCCAACCGAGACTCCAAGGTGACCTAGAACTTTTTTAAGCAGGAAGGAATTCCAAGTTCAAATGTGTATTCCTACATAAAAAAGTTCAAGGATTCCGAAAATGTGCAATTCAAGAAGCCAGCTGGTCGTCCGGCGAAGCTAGCGACCACTCGAGTGAAAAATAGAATTGAAAAAATTTTCAAAACCAAGCCATCAACGTCAGTAGCTGTAGCTGCCAGGAAAGTCAAAATTTCCAAAAGCTACCTGGGGGAAATTAAGGTCCATAAATTAGGAATCAAAGCAAGGACCAAAAAACCTGCACCAAATTACAAGCCCGTACAAGAAAGTCGGATCAAGGATTGCTGTCAAAAATTGTTGAAGAAAATGCGTGGAAAAGTAGTGATCCTGGATGACGAAACGTATGTTCCGGTTGACCCTTCAAATCTTCCAGGGCGTCATTTTTTCATAGCTCGGATCCCTCTGAAGTGGCTTATGAAGAAAAAGTACGAAAAAAAGACAAATTTCCAAAGAAATATTGCATTTGGCAATGCATCTCCAGTCACGGACATGTATCAGACCCGGTAGTTCTCGAAGGGAATATCAATCAAGATATTTATCTGAAAAATTGCGTCAAGGCTGGATTGGAAGCATTTATTAATAGGTTTCACAAAAATGATAAAGTTTTGTTTTGGCCTGACCTCGCCACTTGTCACTATGCAAAGAAAGTGACCGAGTACCTCAGAAAGAAAAATATTGATTTCGTACCAAAAGATATCAACCCACCTAATGTACCCCAACTCCGCCCAATCGAAAAATTCTGGGCACGTTCTAAGTCAGTATACTCCCGGCTTCAAGATGTGCCTGACACCTTTCGAAAATTCAAAGGACGATGGAAGAAAATCACCTCGGAAGTGGCAAAAACTTCGGGAAAAAATTTAATGAAAAATCTTCGCAAGAAAATCGAACTAGTCGCCAACGGGGGTGTGGCGGCCTTAGCTATTAATTAAATTATGTAGGTACGTATTTGGTATTATACATATGCAAAAAGTTTAAAATTCCGATAACTCATTGTGATTTTATGACCACATTTTCAGACCATTCCCATTCATTCCCGGACGTTCTTTAGTTAGGAATTAAGTCTGATCATGTTGTGGTTGTGCAACATTTTGTGTAGAAACTTGGTATTAATAAAAGGTATGAAATTGACATGTGACACCACGAACTGTTATATTACTGTATTAAACATACATTGCACTAATACCACCATAAGGGAAATTTTGAAAAACCACCTTCATTTTGTGTCAGGGCATATTCAAGTTAGACATTTCGGTGAATAACCATTAACGAAAATTTAGAAAATTTAACCCAAAAATTCATTTCCAAATTTTATAATTAGCCCGACTCGGGCCAAATATGGTTTGCACACAAGAGGTAGTTTTCAGAGAATATGCAAAGCTAAACAAATGATAACACAGTTTCATTCCAATGTTTGACAACTAAACAATAAATCCATTTCGAGATTTATATTGTTTATAGATAAGCAAATGGTGTCAAATCTTAACGGTGATTCCTCTGAATCATAGGTCGATCACCTCAGCCAGATAATATTAAAAATACTTGCATGTCCAGCAAATTTTCTCATTTGCATTTGGAACAGTGGCAAAAGCAAAATCATTTTTTTCATTTCATTTCTTGAAATTTTGCTGTTAAATTGTGTGTCAATTAATTTTCGCAACACTTTTACATAATGAGTTGCGAAGAAGAACGAAATCTTCTCCAAATGAAGGAGCTTTACCAAGAAGCTATTAACATTCTTGAAGAAATATTGCGCGATGTAAAGTTCACAAAAACGGGTACAGAAATTGGTCGCGGAGCGGGGATTGGTTTTGGCATAGTGGGAACTGGAGTGCTTGTTGTTGGTTTACTGTCCATATTTGTCCCCCCACTTGCCCCAATTGCTCCAATTTTGGGATGGGTCGGTTTCGGCGTAGGAGTTGCTGGAGGGGGAACGGTTGCTGGATCAAAAATCGCAAAGCAAATCCTGAACAAAAATTTTATTGCTAACTGGAAGGTAATGGAAAATGCGATAAGTAAAGCTGCTAAACGAAGTGAGGATAGTTTCTTGGCGATTGAGAAGGTGGTAAAGAATTTGGAAGAAAAGCATGGGAACAATCGTGAAGCTTCAGTGAAATATATCGTAACATGTTTAAAAAATGGGGAAGAATGGAAACATTTGGAACTTAATGTTTTGTCAGAAAAAATCAATCATTTTACGAATTTTCAAAGAGGGGCGGTTAAATTGAATAAGAATGCGACATTTGAAGGTACCTTATAAATTTATTATTTCTTAACTTAGAAGAGTTTTTTTGAAAAATTTTTAAACTATTTTTTTAGCTGTGACCAGTGGGATTCAAGGCGCGGCGGGGGTTAGTGGGATGGCCGCTGCGGGCGCTGGGTTGGCGCTGCCACTATTCGATGACGTTGCCCTTGGGTTTTTTCAAGTGGGGAAAAACATCGTTCCTATTGCTAAGGCGGCTATAGGTGGCGCTGGCGTTGCGATTGGTCTGGGTTTAAATGTCTATGACATTGTTCAGTTAGTTAAAGATGTGAAGTCCGAGGGTGAGTTAATTAAGAAACTGAAAGAGACAGTTGATAAATATTACGGAAATATTACGATCGTAGACGAATACCTTGCTGTATTTCAGGGAAAAAAAGTGAATTATATTTTGGAGTAAAGACAAGTGTTGATTAATTTTTAAGCTTTACTATTTTAAAAAAATATGTAGGTTTTTGACTCAGTTCTTTAATAAACTTGTTACAGGTTATTTATTATTTAAATTAATGATGTATTTAGGAATAAACATAAAAACAAATATGGTTACAGTATACCTTTTGCGATTAACTTATACTTATTTTATTCAAATGGCTCAAATAACGGCACTTTTTAAATATGTTATGTAATAAACAAAGATGACAAATTTATTTAATTTCTTTTGTAATAACTGTCCAATAATAAATATTTTATTTGCTTAATTCTGTGAAAATCTATGGTTTGTGAATTAAAACGATGCGAAATTTTTGCTGAAAGGTTATAAGGCGGATATGGAATGTTGAAACTTGAATTTTTATAAATAACGTACAAATTTTAAATACGCATAACTTTGTCAATTTTCTATCCACTTTCGAAATTCCGACTGTTTTGAATCCAGCAGGCCCTTGGGCGAAATGTAAATTCTCAGATTTTTAAAATTCGACCACACCCCCTTGGTATCCAGGTCAGAAGGTCAGAAAAATGACAACAATTTCGTCCACTGATTTTAAAATAAAACTATCGAATTCAATGAATATCTCTCTTAAATTAGTCCAAGCCTTCTATGATTGACCTGAAATTTTTATTCCTGAAATGAGAGGAGAAGAGGAGCGGGGACGATTCGAAGTGGTTGCATTTCACAAGAGCGTAGAATTGGCAACCCATAAATTCTCTATGATACCAAATTTCAAAGGCTTGCACTATTTTGTTCAAAGTACCGTCCAAGGTCACCATAAGCAGTGCACTTTCAGGTAGGTCTGTTATGTCCTAGCATACGTATTATATAGTATTTTTCGGGTGCATACTATCAAGATTGTTTACCCAATCCGGAGGCGAAAATTAACCAGAAAACATATATGGATGAAATACTGGGGGTGAATGTGGTAAAGCCACCAAGTATGCCTTTATGTTTAGAACAGCAGTTGCTTTTCCGAGAACGTCAACCAGATAGATGTATGCTCAAAAGTTGTATAAAGGTGAAGTTTCTGATTGTAATACCAGTTATCTTTTATCCAATTACCTAACGTATAAAAAAGCGTATAGAGTATTACGTATGCATGGGTTGCAAGTAATGATCCCCTGTAAATAAAAATTTGGAGTATCTAAAAACATTATTGGAAACATGCTCGGCAAAAACAAACCGGTGGAAGTGTTTGGTTTGGCTGTGAATCTGCAATGGTCTAGATTATCTGCTCGTGTGAAGACAACTGTAGGTCAATTCTGTCAAGTGTTGATTTTTCTGCATCATACCTGGCATATATATTTGCTGTAACATACGCAAATATGAGTAAACTCAGTTTACTATTTTCGAGAATACACATTTTCTACATATCGTCGGCCTAATTCTAAAAACCCCTAAGTGCAGTCTCATCTTAATTTTAAATAACCCTAAGTGAGACTTCATCCTAATTTTAAAAACCCCTAAGTGCTGTCTCTCGTTAATTTTAAAAACCCCTAAGTGCTGCCACTAGTTAATTTTAAAAAGCCCTATGTGATAAATAAAAACGAGTAAAAAGCCCTAACTGTAATTCAAATTTCAAATTATGCATAATTAATTAGTTCTGATAAACTAATCAGAGTATCATACAGTGATACTCTATGATTACAAATTAAATTTTGAAAATATTATGCAAAACTTCACTGGGCTATTCACAGTGGGTGTGGCCGTAGGCGCCTTTTCGATTTAAATGACACCATGTCATGTGATATATCATTTTTCTCAGCACGCTGAGGACATTACGCCTGAATACTTCAAATTTACGAACCACACCCCCAGTGGGTGTGGTCATCTGCGACTTTTCAATTTTGACACAACCATGTCATGTGATATGTCATTTTTCTCAGCTCGATGAGGGGATTTCGACTGAGCAACTAAAATTTCAAACCACACCCCCTGTGGGTGTGGTCATCTGCGACTTTTCAATTTTGACACAACCATGTCATGTGATATATCATTTTTCTCAGCTCGATGAGGGGATTTCGACTGAGCAACTAAAATTTCAAACCACACCCCCTGTGGGTGTGGTCATCTGCGACTTTTCAATTTTGACACAACCATGTCATGTGATATGTCATTTTTCTCAGCTCGATGAGGGGATTTCGACTGAGCAACTAAAATTTCAAACCACACCCCCTGTGGGTGTGGTCATCTGCGACTTTTCAATTTTGACACAACCATGTCATGTGATATATCATTTTTCTCAGCTCGATGAGGGGATTTCGACTGATAACTTTGTCATAGAACATGCGGTGCAAAATCACGTTTTCGCGAAATATTTGGCGAAAGCTGCACCAAAACCTGCATTTTCCCAATGCTTTTAACATAGCCCCAGCGTTTCGAATGATGAAATAAACTTTATAGAATATTGAAAAAATATTTATGTACCTATCCGCGTAATTTCAGCCCCATCACGAATATGCAAAAAGTGGTGCAAACATTTGCCAATTTTTTTGCAAATTGCGAAAATCGGAAAAATTTCGCAAATTTGAATTCTTCGTTCCTTTAAATTCAACAAAATTTTAACTAATGTAAAATGGAATTTTTTTATTGCAAAAAATTTGCAAAAATTTGCAAAAATTGAAGTACGCAATTTTTCAATTTTTCATTATCGTTTCATTATACAAACTAAAAAATTATCATTTACATACATATGCATCTACGAATGAAGGAAAAGCTTATTTGTTTAACAACTAAAAATCACGCCACACATTGCAGTTTTTTGCAACTTGCAATAATAAACATCGCGAATAATTTCGAAAAATACGTAAAAATAGACTAGCATTGGTTATTTTAACTAATTTTCATGAAAAATTGCGAACTTCAATTTTTGCAAATTTTTGCAAATTTTTTGCAATAAGAATATAGTATTTTGCATTATATAAATTTGTTAATTTTGTTCAATTTAAATGAACGAAGAATTCAAATTTGCGAAATTTTTCCGATTTTCGCAATTTGCAAATAATTTGCAAATGTCTGCATCGCTTTTTCCATATTCGTGATCGGGCAGAAAGTACCCGGACGGGTACATAAATATTTTTTCAATATTCTATAAGGTTCATTTCATCATTCGAAAGGCTGGGGGCTATGTTAAAACCATTAGGAAAATGCAGGTTTTGGTGCAGCTTTCGCCAAATATTTCGCGAAAACGTGATTTTGCACCGCATGTTCTATGACAAAGTTTTAGTTTCATTAAATTATCTGTCGATTAAGGCTATTACGAAGGAAATCGAGATGGGACAGTAGTTGAGGTTCCCTTGTGAGTAACTAAAATTTCAAACCACACCTCCTGTGGGTGTGGTAATCTGCAACTTATCAATTTTGATACAACCATGTCATGTGATATATCATTTTTCTCAGCTCGATAAGGGGATTTCGACCGAGTAACTAAAATTTCAAACCACACCCCCTGTGGGTGTGGTAATCTGCGACTTTTCAATTTTAACGAAACCATGTCGTGACATCATTTTTCTCAACTTGGCGATAATATTTCGACAGAGAACTTATATTTTACAAACCACACCCATCTGGGGTGACTCTTGGCGACTTTCGATTTTTACACCACCATGTTATGCGATATGTCATATTTCCCAGCTCGATGAGGATATCTGGAAAGATTTAACGTTAAAATTGAAAAGTCGCAGATGATCACACCCACAGGGGGTGTGGTTTGGAATTTTAGTTACTCAGTCGAAATCCCCTCATCGAGCTGAGAAAAATGATATATCACATGACATGGTTGTGTCAAAATTGAAAAGTCGCAGATGATCACACCCACAGGGGGTGTGGTTTGGAATTTTAGTTACTCAGTCGAAATCCCCTCATCGAGCTGAGAAAAATGATATATCACATGACATGGTTGTGTCAAAATTGAAAAGTCGCAGATGACCACACCCACAGGGGGTGTGGTTTGAAATTTTAGTTGCTCAGTCGAAATCCCCTCATCGAGCTGAGAAAAATGACATATCACATGACATGGTTGTGTCAAAATTGAAAAGTCGCAGATGACCACACCCACTGGGGGTGTGGTTCGTAAATTTGAAGTATTCAGGCGTAATGTCCTCAGCGTGCTGAGAAAAATGATATATCACATGACATGGTGTCATTTAAATCGAAAAGGCGCCTACGGCCACACCCACTGTGAATAGCCCAGTGAAGTTTTGCATAATATTTTCAAAATTTAATTTGTAATCATAGAGTATCACTGTATGATACTCTGATTAGTTTATCAGAACTAATTAATTATGCATAATTTGAAATTTGAATTACAGTTAGGGCTTTTTACTCGTTTTTATTTATCACATAGGGCTTTTTAAAATTAACTAGTGGCAGCACTTAGGGGTTTTTAAAATTAACGAGAGACAGCACTTAGGGGTTTTTAAAATTAGGATGAAGTCTCACTTAGGGTTATTTAAAATTAAGATGAGACTGCACTTAGGGGTTTTTAGAATTAGGCCGACGATATACATTTGTTATGACAACTCAAAACGGCAAACGGGATTTATGGGCTTATAAGGGCATCAACGTTAATAACCACACACAAAGGCCGTTTAACTCTCTTAAGATATTTGATACTTATTTCATTAACGAACTGAGAAAACATATCGTCGGACTAATTCTAAAACCACGTAACTGCAGTCTTGTCTTAATTTCAAAAAGACGTACGTGCAGCCCATGCTTAATTTTAAAACCGTATTGCTCGATAAAGAAACATGGATTTGTTTGTTAATGGGATTCTTAGTATTTCTAATAAGTCGAATACAACACCCCCTGTGGGTGTGGCTCTCGGCAATTTAGAGTAATCTCAACCTGACCACACAAAATTAAGCAGACTACGATGTATTTATAAATTTATAAATTATTAAAAATAAACCTCATTTTGCCTCAAAATTGGATGAAGGGTTGCGGGCGTTGAACTCATACCCGCCTCATGCCCCTGGTGTTCCATGATTAGCAAATTTTCATGAGAATCTCATTTTGCCCAAACATGTGGGCGTGGTCAACTGAGATACCACACCCACTTTAATTTTGCTAACTCTAGTGGGTTATATAGGCAACCGACATCGTATGCTGCTTAATTTCGCGTGGTCAGATTGAGATTACTCTAAATTGTCGAGAGCCACACCCACAGGGGGTATTGTGTTCGACTTCAAAGGGGGTTATCCTGTCTAGCTCAATGAGCTGGGAAAAATTATATACCGCATGCAACTCTTCTTTTGCGTTTGCACGGAGGCGACGAAAGCGCCGAAGGCCACAGCCCCCAGGGGGTGTGGTTTTTGGAT